TTTTGGTACAGTGACTCTGTGTATTCCTTCTATCTTCTTTTGATGCTTCCTGCACCATTCAATATTTTGCCCATAGAATCTTTCAATATTGAAACTCGAGCCTTAAATTTTATCCTCAGTTTTTTCAGCTTGAGAAATGCTGAGCATGTTCTTCCTTTTTGGTGTTCTAACTCCAGGTCTTTGCACATTTCATTATAGTGATTGGCTTTGTCTGCTCGAGCTGCTCTTTAAAATCTTCTGTTCAGATCTTCTATCTTGTCATTTCTTTCATTTGCTTTAGCTACTCTCTGCTCAAGGGCAGTTTCAGAGTCTCTTCTGACATCCATGTTGGTCTTTTCTTCCTTTCCTGTCTTTTTAATGACCTTTTGCTTTCTTCATGGATGATGTTCTTGATGTCATCCCACAATTCTTCTGGGTTTTGGTCACTGGTGTTCAGTGCACCAAATCTATTCTTTAGATGGTCTCTAAATTCAGGAGGGATATAATCAAGGTCATATTTTGGTTCTCCTGGACTTGTTTTAAATGTCTTCAGCTTCAATTTGAACTTGCATATGAGCAGTTGATATTCTGTTCTACAGTCAGGTCCTGGGCTTGTTTTGGCTGAAGATACTGAGCTTCTCCATCACCTCTTGCCACAGATGTAGTCAATCTGTTTCCTCTGTACTCCATCTGATGAAGTCCACGCGTATGTGTTGTTGAAAAAGGGTATTTGCAATGTCGTTGGTCTTACAGAATTCTATCATGTGATCTCCAGTGTTATTTCTATCACCAAGGCCATATTTCCAACTACCAGTGATTCTTCTTTGTTTCCAACTTTTGCATTCCAGTCAGCAGTGATAATCAACATGTTTGGTCAATTTCAGACTGCAGAAGTTGGTAAAATGTTCAATTTCCTTGTGTTTGGCTCTGGTGGTTGGTGTGTAAATTTGAATAATAGTAGTATTAACTGGTCTTCCTTGTAGGTATATGATACTATCCTATCACCGACAGCATTGTACTTCAGGATAGATGTTGAAACATTCTTTGTGACGATGAATGCCACACCATTCCTCTTCAATTTATCATTCCCGGCATAGTAGTTCATATGGTTTTCTGATTCAAAATGGCCAAAAACAGTCCATTTCATATATATATATGTTTGCTGCTGGTTATTTTAAATAAAAATATTTAAATATATATCCTAGTTTTAAATTTATATATGTTTAATACACACTTAGCTCAATTCCATATCTGTACACGAAGTCATACATCATTTTCAAAGTGGAAATATATTTTTTAAATGATTAAATGATTTATTAATTTTTTTTCAAAATCAAAATAAATTACTGCAACAAATAGTTATTATTTTTATATGCAAAACACTGTTATAAGTGCTTTAAGGATACATAGCAGCACCAGATGAGAATATTGCCCCACAAGGAGTCTTTAGTTTGTTGTTGTTGTTGTTGTTATGTGCCATTGAGTCAGACCTGACTCATAGTGACCCCTCTTTGGGTTTCCGAGACAGTATCACAACGGAAGTAGATTGCCCAACCTTCCTTCTGAGGAGTGGCTGGTGGGTTTGAACTGCCAGCCTTTTGGTGAGCAGTCAAGTGCCTTAGGCACTATGCTACCAGAGGATTAAAGTTCTCTGTCTATATTATATCACACCACAATATACATTCTCACAAATACAAGTTTAAAATTATTATCCTGGAAGTTTGACCAATATTTCTTTTTTTAGTTTATTTTTAAGTATATAATTCAGTGTTTTTTAGTGTATTTTCAAAATTGTACAATCATTACCACTAATTCCAGATTATTTTAATCACCCCAGAAAAAGAACCTCATATCCACTAGTAGTTACTCACTTCCCCTGGCCCCTAAAAACCACTAGTCTGTTTCCGGTTTCTGCAGATTTCCCTACTCTGGAAATTTGATATAAATGTAGTCATACAATATATAGTCTTATCTGTTTAGCCAGATTCACTTAACATAATGTTTTCAACATTCAGTCATGCTAGTTATGAACTACTGACTGGCATGTGTTGATAGCTCATTCCTTTTTTGTTAATTAAAAAATGTTTATTATTTTTTACGTTTATTGAGCTATAATTTATATACCATAAAACTCAACTTTTTAAAGTATTTAATTCAGTGGTTTTTAGTATATTCACAAAGTTGTTCAACCAACCCCACCATCTAATTTCAGAATATTTTCATCATCCTTGAAAGCAACCTTTAATCATGAGCAATCTTCATTCCTTTCTGGTGACTGAAAAATAAATACTCCACTGTATGGATATACCACATTTTTTAAATCAGTTCATCAGTTGATGACCATTTGGGTTGCTTCTATTTTTTGGCTATGAGGAATAACGCTGCTATGAAGATTTTTGTACAAGTTTTGGTATAAGCATATGTTTTCAATTCTCTTGGGTAAATAAATACCTCCTAGTAGAAGCATTGCTGGAGAATATGGTGTGATAGTTGGAACTATGTGTCAACTTGGCTGGACTCCAGTTCTGTGTGGTTGTTCCCATGATGGGATCAGAGACTGTGTTCTGAGTGGCTAATCTGCCCAAGGGAGCTTCCCTAGGGGTGTGGCCTGCTTCCAGGTTATCCAGGGACATCCTGGGAAGAGAGACATTCTTCTGTGGATAGGGACTCTGGTGTGCTGCCTACAACCTTCTGTGAGTGAGCAGCCCACCGCTCGGCCTGGAGATCTTGGATTCGTCTTTCGTTGGAGTCAACAGCCAGTGTACTGCCTGCCAGCCTTGAGTTTCTTGCAGTTGTGGAAGCTAAGGCTGCCTCTACCCCGATGTTTCCTCCAGGCACTTTGGACTTGCTGGCTTCTATAAGTTTGTGAGCCATTTTCCTAAGATAAATTTCTCTATATATCTGTATAAGCTTTGCTGGTTTTTGTTTCTCTAGGCAACCCAGTCTAACACATATGGAAACTCTGTTTAACTTTCTGAGGAGAGGCCAGACTGTTTCCAAAGTGGCTATGTTATTTTACATTTCTACCAGCAGTGTACAATTGGAGAGCCCCAATTTCTCCACATCCTCACCAATACCTGTTATTGTTTATCTTTTTTATTATAGCCTTCCTCTCATTGCCAGTGAGATTCAGACTCATAGCTGCCACCATTGGGCTTCCAAGGTTGTAAACCTTTATGGAAGCAGATTGCCCCATGTTTCTTCCACAGAGCAGCTGGTGGGTTTGAACCACCAACCTTTTGGTTAGTAGTCAAATGCCTTAACCACTACACCACCAGAGTTCCTTATAGTCCTCTTAGTGGACATGAATTTGTAACTTATTGTGGTTTGGATTTTGTGCATTTCCCTAATGAGTGATGAGGTTGACCATCTTCTTATGTGCTTATTGGTGTAAAGGAGAAATTCATAGGCCTTTTTGACCAAAGCTGAATGACTGAATTGCACTCAGTTCTTGCTCAACTAAACTGTTTACTACAGATCTGCCAGCCTGTTAGCTCCTGTTAGCTGTCTGTGTTAATTACTGGATTCCATAAAATTAAGAAGTGATCTCTCTTTATAGTCAAGCCAGGATGTAAAGGAAATACACTCTAAGGAAGGGAATCTTGACACAGGTGTCTTTTGTATAAAGTGGACCAAAGAAATACTTCTTTATGACAGAAAAAAAACCTCACAGCCATCGAGTCGATCCCCTCATAGCGACCCCTCTTTGGGTTTCCGAGGTGGTATCTGTGCAGAAGTAGATTGCCCAGTTTTCCTTTCGAGGAGTGGCTGGTCAGTTTGAATTGCCAGCCTTCTGATTAGCAGTCAAGTGTCTTAGGCACTACACCATCAGAGCTCTTTCTTTATGACAAAGATGTAATAAAAAGAATTGCTTGAAAGGATTTAGATCCAGCCTAATCTAAAGTTTCCCAGACCCCTTAAAAGTTTTATTTAACAAGCTGTGTCAGAGAAATGAGATCTTGACATCAAGAGGTGTTTTTCACCCACTCCCGAGATACTGGTTAAAGCTGTGTAAACCTCCATCAGTAATGTTTTATGATTCCACCTAAAGGCTATTTGACTGAGATTTAAAAGCTCTGTAATCAGTTCCTCAAATAAATCACTGTGATTTTCTATATCCAACTATCCAGTAGAAACCTATTCCCCTCCCTAACCCAACCTCTTTGTGACCTTAACCAAAGACTAACCAATCAAACCACTGTATTATATTTTTTTTTGTTCCACAAACTATATCTGCTTTTAGCTAGAGTTGTTAATGGAAATCATCAGTTCTCATCTGTATGGGCTGGTGCTTTCCTACATCTGGATATAGAATTTCTGAGTAAATTCTCTTAATTTCATTTCCACGGACTGAGTGAATTTTCTGTCTCTACTACATTTGCTATTATATATCTTCAATGACTGACCAAGTTTTTAGTCCTATGGATCACTGGATTTTTATGTGCATAATATAACTTGCAAGGTGCTCTGGTGACATAATGCCTAAGGCATGTGACCATTAACCAGAAGGGTGGGGGTTCATACCCATCAGCCACTCCATGGAAGGAAGACTGGGCAATCTACTTCCATAAAGATTTACCACCTCAGAAATGCAATGGGGTCGCTATGAGTCAGATTGACTCGATGGCAGTAAGTTTTGTTTTTGTTTTTGGGATATAATTTGCACAGTCTACCTACAGTCCAATTTTGGAAATAATCATTAAGTAAATTTCAATTTTGTTGACCAATGTAACATCGCATAGATTTATTTTTAAATAATCATCAAAATGACTTAATAGTTAACTTTTATAAGTCAGTAGAGGAAAGTATCTATATATTTTATATATTTGATTTTTAATGCATTGTCCCACATCATAGTTGGATATTTGGATGCTAAAATTAGGAATTCAAAAATATAATTAAAGTTTATTCTTCCATAGTAGTGAAGGATGTATAATTGATTTATAATTCAAAACTAATATGGAGAAACTCCCCAAATACCCAATTGATTAAAATGCACACACAAAACTCAGAAGTCCTACCTTTTTGACCATCGGTAGCAGGCTCTTCCCTGACCACAGCAATTCAAGCCTGGAATCCTGTGTCCTCCAGATCTTTTCATTATCATACCTTCTCTGAAAAGAGACATGAAATTAACCCATCATGTTCAATTTTCCAACTTACACTTAGCTGATATAGCCTAGTAACTTGGGACTAAATAAGCCACTTCATGCTTATATGGGCTTTCCTCCTGGTTAGGCTGTGTACTCTAGTAGTTAATCTTCTAAAGGACCCTGGTCATATATGGATAGTTCTGTTGGCATTTTGGGCAGCATAATTGAGTTTGCATACCATAGGACCTTAAGTGTCCTGGCTCCTCCAGTCATTGTGGAAAACTAAAAAAGATCCCACACATTGCCAAATATCCTCATGGGAGATGGGTCAGGTACTATTGAAACCATCGGAGAGACTCACCCACAAATTCTAGGGTATTTCTGCATCCTTTCACATATAGATCTAGCAAGTGAGCCATGCCAAAGGAAGTTGGGCAAAGCTACTAGCTTTGAAGAGAGTAATAACTTGTTATTGAAATATGTGACAACAAAGAGCAGTAATAATGCCTCAACAAAATAAAACAATGTTTTAAATATTAACAATGTTCCTAAAGAACTAAAATTTAAGTTTGTAAATTATAAAATTTAAAATTATAAGTTTATAACATCAAACTCTAATACTGAGGAAAATAATCACTAAGTAAATTTCAATTTTGTTAAATAATGTACATCTTGCACAGAATTACTTTTAAATAATCATCAAAATGAGGTAACAGTTAGCTTTTATAAGTCATCAGAGTAAAGTATTTTATATATCTCATATATTTGATTTTTAATGCACTGTCCCACACCATAGTTGCAACATGTATTAAATAACTTGCTGTTGGGTTAGAGGCAAGTTGTACTATAACAAATGAGAAAGAGGATGAAGCAGTTGCTATCATAGTTTGTTGTAGCAAGATATTTTGTTTTGTATAGATAGATCCCCTTAGTTGTTCCAATTCTGTTCAAGAAAACAAGAAGCCAGGGGTAAAGCCAGGGGAGTTCCACAACCAGGATATGGTGATAAATCAAATGTTAGTGCTTATCAACTTTTCACACTCTCTTGAAAGATTCAACACCAGAACTTACATGCCCTTTGGTCCCAAATCATGGATGAAGGAGAGCTGGCTTATATCAAGGAATTCTGTCTGAAAAGAGGCAAAAATTTCACATATTAGAGGGGAAACAATGAAATTTGTCATTCAAAAAACATGCATCAGGTACTGCAACTATGTGTAAATATGGTTTGGGACACTCTACAAACTGCACAAATGGGTAACAAAGGCACTGTCCTCAAAGAGTGCAGAAGAGAAGAATACAAACAATTAAAATATAATCACTTTATCAAAAAAAGTGAAAAGACAACCTAGAGATTGGGAGATAATATTCAGGAACCACATATCCAGTAACAGCCTAGTATCCAAAATATATTTAAAAATTCTACAACTTATTATCAAAAAGACAAACAACCCAATCAAAAATTGGACAAAGAACTTGAATAGATGTTTCACCAAAAGGGATATTCAAACGGCCAACAAATATGTTAAAAAAGATGCTAACATCATTAATCTCTGTTGTTGCTATGTGCTGTCAAGTCGGGCCCGACTCATAGTGACCCCTCCTTGGGTTTCCAAGGCAGTATCACTATGGAAGTAGATTGCCCAACCTTCCTTCCAAGGAGTGGCTGGTGGGTTGGGAGCACCAACCTTCTGGTTAGCAGTCAAGTTTTTGTTGTTGTTGTTGTTATGTGCCATGAGTTGGCCCCAACTCATAGCGACCCCTCTTTGGGTTTCCGAGGTGGTATCACTACGGAAGTAGATTGCTCAACCTTTCTTCCTAGGAGTGGCTGGTGGACATGAACTGCCAGCCTTCTGGTTAGCAGTCAAGAGCCTCAGGCACTATGCTACCAAAGCTCCTGCAGTCAAGTTTGTTGTTGTTATTGTTATGTGCCATAGAGGTGGCTTGACTCATAGCGACCCCTCCTTGGGTTTCTGAGGCAGTATTACTACAGAAGTAGATTGCCCCATCTTCCTTCGGAGGAGTGGCTGGTAGGTTTGAACTGCCAGCCTTCTGGTTAGCAGTAAAGTCCTTTAGGCATTATGTTACCAGTTAGAGAGATGCAAATAAAAACTACAATGAGCTACCCCTCACATCTGTTGAAATGGCAATATTTTAAGAAAATGAAAAGTTACAGGTGTTGGCAAAGTTGTGGAGAACCTGGAACACTCATCCATTGCTGGTGGGAATGGAAATTGGTTAAGTAGTGGTGGAGAACAGTTTGGCCGTTCCTCAAAAAGTTGAACATAGATGTAGCATATGATGTAGCAATTCCATTCCCTAAGTATATGCTCAAAAGAAATGAAGGCAGAAACACAAACAGAAACTTGTACAACAGTGTTCACTGCAGCACTTTTCACAGTAGAAGTAACTAAAATGTCAATCAGCAGATGAATTGGTAAACAAATGTAGTGTATACACAAACAGAGTATTATTCAGCCATAAAGAGAAATGAAGTCTGAAACATCATGCTGAGTGAAATAAGTCTGTCACAAAATCACAAACACTGTGTTGCTCTCACTTATATGAAATATGCAAACATATAGAAAACAAAGATTACTAGTAGTTACCAGGGCTGAGAGGGAGAGGAGAAGGAAGAGTGTTTACTAAGGGAGAATTGAGTGTATGTTAATAGTGATAGAATGGTTTAGAAAAGGATAGCAAGAATGGTTGCACAACTTGAAGAATGTAATCACTGTCACTGAACTGTACATGCAGAAGTTGCTGAGATGGTTTATGTCTTATTGTATATATTTTTAACCACACACAAACATATGAAATACAACGTGAAGAGTGGTATGCCTCCTAAGATGTAGAGACAAAATGCTCAAGAAGACTGTGGAAGGAGAGTTGACTTCCAACATTCTTTTGTGTTTGTTTTTATTGAAGGGCATTTTGTGTCATAGTGTAAAAAGAGATAATAAAAGAATGTGCAAAGGGAACAATGTTGGTGCCAGGTTGTGGAATACATGGACCAGACCTGGGCATGTGGAAAGGAGAGGTGAAGGGGTTATAAAACAGAGATGGTTCAGGAAGGTTACAGGATGTACCCTTGGCCTAGAGTGTGTGAGGTGAAGGAGAGTAATGGAAAATTAAATGGCAAGATAGGTTGAGAAGTGATTGGGGTGGTCTCTCAACACCGGGCATAACAGAAAAAATTATTTTTAATGCATTTTAATACTGTAAAAGAGAATTTTACTGTATACACTGCTGAAATATAAAAACTATAATATAAACTAAAATAGTTACAGCAACGGCTAATATTTAATGAGTGTTTTTTATGTGTTTTCACTATGCTAAGCATTTTTCAAAATCTTTTGAAGTAGGTACTAATTTTTCAATTATACAGAAGTGGAAATGAGTTTCAGAGCAGAGATAGGCAAAAGTTTTCTGTAAAGAGACAGACAGTAAATATTTTAGCTTTCACAGGCCATTTGGTCTCTCATAACTGCCTTGGAAACCCAAGGAGTGGTCGCTATGAGTGGGATACGACTCGACTTACAGTGAGTTTGGTTTTTGGTTTTTAACTACTCAACTCTGCCATTTTAGTACAAAATCCACCACAGATAATACATAAATGAATAAGCATAGCTGAGATTCAATGAAATTTTGTTTTTGGATACCAAAATATGAATTTCATATAATTTTCATGTGTCACAAAATACTTTGATTTTGTAAAAACTATTCTTGGTTCACAGGCCACACAAAAACAAGCAGTGGGCTGGATTTGGTCCAAGAGCTGTAATTTGCTGATCTCTGGCTTAGGAACATTAAACGTATTGTCTAAGATCACATAATTAGCAAGGGCTGGATTCAGAATCAAGTCAGACCAAAGTTAATACCCTCTAATACGAAAGAAAAAGTCACTCAACATTTCACTACTCAGATAAAGCTCCTTATGTATTCTAGCTAGGTAAGAACGAGATGCAAATGTCAGGATATAGAGGGAAAAACAAAAAAGCATAATGTAATGTTAAGCATTTGTAGAAGTTTTTACCTCATGTAATTTTTGAAACTACTAGAGTTAGACATTATATTGTTTGCAATTTACAGAATTTTTAAATAAAAGTCATCAACAATAAGCTCACATCTGCCAATAGCTCATAAACTGTAGCAATAAGGACTTTGAAGGAAGTGCAAAGACAAAAATGGCATGCTCTCAGCATCAGAAAGAAGAAGAAAACACTCCACGTTAACGAATATACCAGTTACATAGGGGAATATAATTATAGGGGTGTGGAAGAGGAGGGTGACCACTTCCTAGGTCATGTGACATCACAGAGAGATATTTGATCTATACATGTAAATGGGATTAATAAAATGAAAAAGGCAACACAATAATTTTCCTTTAAAGTTTGTGTATATGACTGGAAATATCTAATAATAACCTTGTAAGAAAAAAATTACTAATCTCTCAGAAATGTCAGTCTTTCAGAGGTCAAATTGAATTCTTGCATTTCTTTCTTTTCTTAGGATTATTTAAAGAAAGTAGGTCTCTAAAATTTAAAATGACTTAAATAACCTTTAAGACTCCCAATCAAACATATCCACCTATAGAAGTTTTGTTTTTGATAAGGATCTTAAAAGTCAAGGTCTTTAGGTTACATTTCTTGTAAAAACCTTGTGATTCCCTACCATCAAGTTTGTATCTGATTTGCAAGAATGCTTTCTAATTGGAAAATTTAGTAACCCATGGGTTATAAGAAGTGATACTGCAAACTGCCAACCACAGAAGACAAAATGTTTTAAGATGTTAAACCATAACTTATTTTATCTCTAAGGAGAACACAGAAAATAGCGATTGTAGTTTACATTTGAAGAAATACTACAGAGGTGTAGCTCATTTATACAAAGTTACAGAACAACTGGATGCAAAAATAAAAAAATGAAAAGTAAAAATCAAGGAACTCTCTCATCTAATATTTAGATATTTCCTTATTCTCATAGCTCTTCAAATAGTTGACAATAGAAATATTCTCTAAAATAATTCAGAACTTCACAATTTTAGAGTATCTATCATAACAAAATTGTTAAGCATAAAGACCTTCATCTAAATTTAAAAGTATACATTAGCAATGCAGAAAATGAAAAGTTGTACATTAATATAAAATTTAGATTTATCCTAAAGGTTTAGGAGAGTTTAACTAAGGAGAGCTTTTAAGGAAGAAATAGCCTTATTTAACAAGGGGAAAAAAATTTCTGAAAGTAAATGTTGTTCTACTACATATTTATCAAATTGAAAGCAAATTTGTCAAGGTCAACTTAGAGGCAAAACTAATCAATAAAATTTTAAATTTAACAAGTTTATGTTGTTCAAACTTCTCTGGGTGTCTTCAGTGATAAGAATACCATTCTCTATTTGGACAGGGTTAATATTCTCAGGAATAAGAATTTAAAGACAAATTACCATGACAATATTCCACAGGGCTCCTATCTCTTGAGTAATGTATTAATCAATATGTTTTGGGGTGTGTGGGTATGTGTACGTGCAAAGGAACTTGTGAAAAGTATAGTTAAATAATACTCTTGGCATTAGATGGAAAGGAATTTCAAGTCAAAATGTCAGATGTGATTTACTAATTGGATAATGAAAGATTATAGCCTTGGAAATCCTAGGGGCAGTTGTGCTTCTGTCTTATAGATTGGCTGTGAATCATGTATGTCTTGTATTCTGTACCCACTCTTCCCCTCAAGCTAAAGTTATTCATAATACAAAACAAGGAAGAGGTGAACTAAGTATTATTGATCTCTGGGATCATTAACCCACGATTTTGATTTCAAGCTAATCATCATCTTGGCGATAAGGAATCTGTGTTACAGGAATTAAATAATTTAGTTGAAGATAGATATAGATATAGATAGATATACAGAGAGAGAAATTGTATCAGCTTAGAATCTTTCTCTTAGAAACATATTTTGTTTCATTTCTAGATTTTAATCTTCAAGAAGAAAAAAAAATACATTTACTGTTCCTTATTTCTTTTCCTTTTAATTCCCTGGAAGATAAGCTTTCCAGTTATTAAATAAAATGTCCAAGCCACAACCAGCACTAATACAATACTAAAGCACTAAAAAAATTCCTGTTTGAGATTTTACATTATTGCACAATTGAATGATACATTGCTAAGTTTTATTTTCACACACTTATGCTTGTTGTTGTTGTTGTTGTTAGGTGCCATCAAGTCAGCCCCGATTCATAGTGACCCCATGTACAACAGAACGAAACACTACCTAGTCCTGTGCCAGCCTCACAATCCTTGTTATACCTGAGCCCATTGTTGCAGCCACTGTGTCAATCCATCTCATTGAGGGACTTCCCCTTTTTTGCTGACCTTCCACTTTACTAAGCATAATATCTTTCTCCAGGGAATGGTCCCTTCCAAGAAAATAACCAAAGCAGGTAAGATGAAGTGTGGCCATTCTTGCTTCCAAGGAGCATTCCAGCTGTACTTCTTCCAGGACAGGTTTGTTCATTCTTCTGGCGGTCCATGGTACTTTCAGTATTCTTCAACAACACCACAATGCAAAAGCATCAACTCTTCTTCAGTCTTCCTTATTCATCGTTCAGCTTTCACATGCATATGAGGTGATTAAAAACACCATGGCTTGGGTTAGGTGCATGTTAGTCTTCAAGGAGGCAACTTTGTTCTTCAGCACTTTAAAGAGGTCTTGTGCAGCACATTTGCCCAGTGCACTACGTCAACTGATTTCTTGACTGCTGCTTCCATTGGTGTTGATTATGGAACCAAGTAATAGGAAAGCTTTGATAACTTCAGTCTTTTCTCTATTTATCATGATGCTGCTTATTTACACCTAGAAGAGATCTAATACATTTGTCTCCATTTTACAAATAAGAAATCTGATAAATTGGTGATAGTCTTTGAACAAGGAGGAAAAAAATGGAATAAAACAAAGAAAGTCTTCGAAATCCTGGATGAAAAGATGTTTAAGTATCAACACTACCAAGATCATATAAAAGTAAGAGAAAAGAGTAGTCTATGTCTAACTTCAAAAGCTATTTAAGAAAACCAAAGGACAATGCTTAGAAGTCTAAAAGCATTTCCTTCTGGATAAATACTATTACACAAATACCATGATAATATCTGTCTCTACTTTTTAAAGTGGTCCAAATTTACCAAGACATTTCTAACTTGACCATAACATTCTGCTTTAGCAGAGTTTTACAAACTCTTGAAGTTAAGAATCACCCAGGCTATTTGTTAAAAATATAAATTCCAAATACAGATATGGATGGACTTATTGAAATTAGGGGCATGATCGTATCTGGTTCCTTGACCCATGACCCATTAGCCTATTGGTTTAAAACTTTAATTAATTCAAATAGTTTGGTTTTGAACTTTAAAATGTATAAATTGATTATGTGTAGACATACAAAAAAAAACTTTTAATATGCTTTTTACAGACAGGATTTTTAATGTTTCTCACAATTATTATGGGAAATATATAGATGTCAATTTAATTTCAAAAATAGGAGTTGGAGGCCTAAATATCTAATCTCTAGGCTATATTATATTTAGTATGAAAGGAAAATAATGTAGAGCAATTAGATCAAATTGTATACTATGTTTCCATCATTTGGAGAATTCAGTTTTTTTGGGGAAAACTCTAAATAATCATCAAGAATGAGAAGGAAAATACATTCAGTCAGTTGCTAACTGGGTTTTCTATTACAAAGGAATTATTTACAAGACATTCTGGAATTTCTAAATACAATATGGCTCAACTTGGAAAAGACTTTTATGACAGGAAAAGTAATTAAAGTTAACATTTAAGAAACTTAAACATTCTCTGACCAAAATTACAATAAAAAAATGTAACAATGTATATGGAAACAGAAGACAGAACCCACCAAGTACTATTCTAAAGCCAAAAGAAATAACAAAAGTAAAGTTACATGCAGGCAGAAAAGTAAAAGAAATGGAAAATTATTTCATACTGGTACTAGTCCATACTTAAATAGTTCTCTATTTAAGAAAACAGTGTGTCTTATTTCAGAGGATACAACAGGTGGCAGCATTTTTAGTAGTAACAGCAGTAGTATGCTTAGTCATTATGTTCATCAATGATTGTCCACTATATAAAAGAGAAGAAATCCCTCCCATCATCCTTCTCTCGAAATCCTCAGGTTGAATCTAAACTGCTGGTTTCCCTGAGAAAATCCTTCTCAACAGTAATGAAGCCACAGACACTCCTTTAAGTCCACTGACCCTCTCTCAGTGAGAGCTGCTGCAGAAGGTGGAACGTGACATCTCTGGTCAGTTGTATGTAAAGGGGATCAGCGGGATGTATGCCCAACCTCCAAATAATACAGGCCGATGGGCAGCTAAAGGAACAAGCGACTGAGAAACTCAGCAGAGATAAACTGCCTCTTGCTTCCTGAACTAACAGACAGAGGCTGTCTCTCCTTCTGTTTATGTGTTTATGGGATGGCATTCTGTAAACTAGAGTCTAAATAACTATGTCTACTCTTAATTCTTCATATACATACATATAACCTCCACAGTAATACAGTTCTGATACACAGAGAAACAAAATATAATCCAATGAATTTTCAGTTATCCATATATCTAGATATTTGAGGGTTAACTCTTTAAAAACACCTGACCTCCAAGGATCACTAAGACGGAGAATTTCATTGTTTTCTGACACCTTCTGTAAAGCCCAGTCCCTCTCCTACCTGACCACAGGCTGCTGCTGCCCAAGCCTAATCTGTGCAGCTGCTTCTAGGGTTTACTACCTGTCCCTTCCTTTCTTTGATTTCCCAAGAGCTTTTTCCCTCTCTAACTTTTCCCATGCTTCTCATTTTTCCCATGAAAAGACATGCCTTTTATAGGCATGACAGGCCAATTAGATGGTAATCAGAGTATGCTCCGTATAATCTTTGGGTATTCCACTCGACTTAACTGTTTTCATCACTTATTACTCAATTTTTTTTTTTCTTCAGGGCTAGAAATGCTTGTTGGCATTATTCAGGAAGCCCAAGGAAAGAAGGCTGATTTCCAAATAATCTAGTCTGTGGTATCATTTCAAGTTCATTTAAATCTGTTGTTAAAGACATATTGAGTTGTATCCAGTATTTTTTAAATAGCATTATATCACCACAAACTGGATCCTGGATATAAAATCACCTTTATGTTCATTTACTTTAACTAAAAGAATAATGTAGAAGTGGATATAAACACTTGTGCTAATAAAATGATTAAAATTTTAGCTGATGATTTACTGTTTTACAAATTTCAAATTTTAAATCACTGAATAGTACTTACTGTTGCATGATAGTTTCTATACATGGGCATTTTTAGTAATTTTGTCAAGTAGTCTTCCAGCTGTTTCTGCAATGCAAATTTAGATAAAAGTTAACATAGTCATCCATACTTATTTTAAAAATTAAGCAGTTAGCAATAATGATGTGCTGTGATCATCATTTTGTTCTCATTTTATAAGTTGTTCACTTATTTCTTCATAGTATCACTGGCCAAGGAATCCCAAATAGCAGTAAGGCATTATTTCCATAGGTCTCTGGAACTTTTATTTTAATCTCTTGCTGCTATTTAATTTCCGCATGCTTTGGTCTTCCATAAACTGTTGAAATACATAGCCTGAGCCTTGTATTTCTTTTTATCCTCCATAGCTACTAGCACAGGAATTACCCATAGTAGATATTTTAAAGCATTGGCTGAATTTACCAAAAATCTCTATGTTCTGGTTACCTAGTGTTGCTTTGACAAGAAATATACCACAAATGGGATGGCCTTAACAAACAGGAGTTTATTCTTACAATTTGGAGGCTTTAAGTCCAAGTTCAAAGTGCCAGGCTCTAGGGGCTGGGTGAAAGCCCCTCAACCTTGGGATCCAGCTCTGCCTCCTGCTACTGGCCCACTGGAGCTAGAGGCGTTTCTTCATTCAGTTTCTGGCTGCTGAGGCTGAGAAGCCCCAAGGTTGACAAGTATAAAGGCACAGTCCCGATGTTACCAAACCACATGGCAGGCCATTAACTTAAGTCCATTGTAAGTCCCAAAGGTAGCAGAGCATAGCAGGCTGCTGAGCAATGACACAGCTACATGCAGGGTCCAAGTGTGCCATAGGCTAGAGACCATTCCCCAAAGCTTCTGCTCATATACAGGAAACAGACCACATTCCCTAAGGCAGCTACTCAGCTGCTCACAGTAGATTCCACCATGGAGTTGATACCAGTCTCATCATGGGGAATACTACATCCAGCTGCCCAGCCTCTCAACCAGGCTCAGCCAAGTTGACGCACAAACATAACTACCACACTATACTTCCTCAGTTCTAACACTGAATTTATTAGCAGGTTTTAAGGGGAAAAAAAAGAAAAACTTACCCAGTAAGTTATGCCCTGGCTTCAAATATGTGGAGGAAAATGTGAGTCTTAGACTTGGAGGCAGTGGCTTAGCATGCCAATCATTTTGACCATGTTACCAAATCTCTTTGCTGAATCATTAAGGGTTAATGGCAATAGGTTACCCTTCACAGTCAGACTCATATATGTAACACAAAAACTGTAGAATTTTATATGTCAAGGTATCTTAGAAAATATTTAGGCCAGGTTCCTAAAAAGATTTTAAACAAGATGACAGCTACCAAGGAGAAACCAAACCATCCCCTCTGGAACATAAAAGTATAAAACAGAACTGATACTTCTTGGATAATTTTCTAGTAGAAAATTAATCTCCCACCCTGTGTAGCACAGTATTAGTGAAGCAGAGCAGGTAAAGGTTTCCCTCCTCCCAAGGTTCCTGTCATACACATCTGTACTCTTTTCTTCTCAAACCATTCCCAGCTCATGTATAGGTTAAGAATGAGATTTTACACATATTTAGCATGAGCTACCACAAATAATGAAGCAAACATAGGGAAATACATGATTTTAAGAGAGTCTTTCTCAAAACCCACAAAGATGAGCTCAATCTTTGACTCACTATCAGCTCAGAGAGTTGCCTGAAGGGAAGCCAGCTTCCTTAAAATATAACTCCTCCTGTGGGAAAATGCAACATCTCAAGGGTCTGAAGTCTCTTGGAGAACAATGGGATAACTAATCCAGTTCCACAGGAGCTAAACCAGCTAAGGCATCCTGGGTGACCCATCAGTGGAGTTGTGGAGTTGGATCAGTCAGAAGAGTGAGTTGTGGTGAGACCCACCTCATCCCTCCTTAGGAGCTGTGTTTCCACATCAAACCAAACCACTGCCTTTGAGTCAACTGTGACTCACAGGGACCCTACACGATAGAGCAGAACTACCTCACAGGGTTTCCAAGGCTGCAAATCTTTAAATAAACAGACTTCCACATTTTTCTCCCATAGAGTGGCTGGTGGGTTTGAACTGTCTGTCGATCTTTTGGTTAGCAGCTGAGTGCTTTAACCACTGTGTCTCCAGGGCTTCCCTGTGTTTCTACAGCACTGCAAAATTGTGTTCAAAATAATGGAATAGTTAAAAGACTTACCCTTCTACCCAAGAATTGTTCTTCTCTAATCCTATTTTCAAATGAACGGGGCAAACTCGGCATCTCTCTAGGCTCCTCGCCTTTGACATTTTGTCTTCTAGATGTGTGTCTAAAAATCACACACAGACATTTATTATTCTTTGAACCATGAATCTCCTAATATCTTTCATGAGATGGCTTATTTTTAGAAGAGTCTATTTAATTGAAAATCCCAATGATGGACAAGTTAACCTAAAATATGAATGAAATACTCTTTCCATGCAACTTGTATACTGAAATAACTTCGTAATTAATACTGAAATGGTTACCTTCTAGTAGGAATGGGGATTCGGATAAAGGCTTTGTACTTGAGTAGTTCTCTGTGGAATTCTTGAAAGTGCTTGAATTTCCTCTTAACTTGCCATTTAAATTCTCCATGTGTTAACTCAATAGTGTAAAGATTCATACCTGGTACCTACCGTGACAGATAAAACGGTATTTTAGATAACAACAAAAATTCCAAAAGTTCTCAATGAGCAATAGCTAATAAGCAACATGGAAGTATTCTTAAATCCAGCTTACTTATTTTATGTAATTACATAAACAATTTTTTTTTTCAAATTTCTTAACCTCTGATTAGGAAAAAAAAAAAAAAAACTCCCTTTTGAGTATTTTCTTATCTACATAACAGAAATTTGGAAACACAAACTCCTACTAATCCTACCTTTTGAAACATACACACATACCCTAGATATATACATATGCATCTGAAACAAGAAATCAGGTAAAGAATACCTGAGAGAAGGCCCTGAGTAGCCTATAGGGGTCTCTTATAGCAGATGGTGAACAGACAATTGAAAAAGGCAGGAAAAAAGAAATGCCAGAAGCATCACCTTTGCAGCATGTCTTGCCCTTCACAAATGACATTACGTGCCTTCTTCCCTTTTCCTTCTGAAATGCATGCTATGGTCCAGCCTTAGCTATACCACCCTACTTCTTTGAAGTGCCACCTAAGGCCAGAAAGTTAAAGGACTACTAGAAGGAAAATATAATTATTCACAAAGTATTTTCCCTAACTACTTAACCAAAATGATTCTCTATCAAAATTTTCAAAATACTTCTTTCAGAAGGCAAATGTATCTTGGTGACTAGTAAATTATTTCAGAAGATCTAGCAGACATGGGGGACAGGAGTTTTGATACAGAAGAATCAGGAGAAGGAGAGGATTTTTTTTTTTTTTTAATTGTGATTTAGGTGAAGATTTGGGCAAATTCACTTTC